GTGTGGGACATCCAGGGTGATCCAGAGTGAGAACAGTGAGTTGTGTGTGCGCCCAGTCGCCATAGCCAGTTGAAGAGAACTCATATCTGGTTACGATATCTTAAGTACTGTCAGGGCGCATGTCGCCAGTTGCTGTATCGCTGTTTGCATGCAAGACAAGTGTGAATAATCGGAGTGTGAATGCACAATCTAGTAAAAAAAAAAAAAAAAAGGAGTGGCCCCGGATCAATTGCCCAGGGGCCTGGACCCACTAGCAAGGTATTCTACCACGCCGTTCAGGATTTCAATCAAGTGTGGCATCAAGTGACTCCGTACAGCCGTCGAATAGATAGGATCTCGACGGCCTGGTAGTATCCGAGCGGGGACTGTAGAGATGCCCACCTCCCGTCCAATGAGATGCGTGGGGAAAAAAAAAAACGAAGTTGGACTAACTTGGACATGATAGCTCGTGGCTTTGCATGGGCGGGAAGTCGGGATTTTATGGGCTTTAAAGGGGGGGGGTTGATTTCCAGACTTCGTTTTTTTTTTTTTTTGTATCTGAGAAATAGAACTTGAAATGTGAAATTCGAATATTGTGGTGCATCTGACAGGAACGCTGCCGCGTCTGCCGGATGGCCTGTTAGAGGCATCATGAGATACATGGGGATGAATGTAACCCTATAGGGATTACATGTTCATCCTCGTGGCTGTGTTCGTGGACACATTTTATTGCCACGGTACATCAGTATGAAGACTTACGTGAAGGAGATCGTACCGACCCATGAATTCGGGTGCACAACTGTTCTTCATAGTTTTATGTGCTATTTCAATTCAGTTTAAATCAGAAAACGATCCATTCATGCAAATAAAAAATCACTTCGTATTTTCCAAAAACACATAAAACTGTGTCACACGTCGTAGAATACTTCGCTAGTGGGTCCAGGCCCCAGCCTGGCCAAAAACGAGTTGAGAAATAAAATTATTCAAACGAAGATCGAACAAGTATTTTTTGCTTTTTCATTGGCAAGAGAATTTTTAGCTGACCTTGGGGCAAACGTTGTTCAGTTTATTTTTCTTCACAACATAGTTTTTTCTTTGTATTTTTCCTTTTTCTTTTTTCTTTTTTTAGTTTTTTCTTCGTATTTTTCCTTTCTCTTCTTTTTTTTTTTCCAGGGACCTTCCCTGACTCCTTGCGCTGCCGGGTCACTCGGGCAACCAAGGTGACCCGGGTGGCCCGGTTGGCAACACAGCTCACAATCGTAATCATATTTTACAGTTTTAACTTTTAAGTTTTAACTCAATTTATCATTTCATAATTTATCATACAGAAGCTTGGATTGAAAAGGAAGAGCACACTAATTAATAATTATGCAGTTGTGTTAGCTATAGCTGCTATCCGATACCTTTGCAATGAACCCAGAACGTGAAGACAGTTGTCAACAATGCAAGCCCAGATAAATGTCCATCAGCTGATGATTACTAGTAGTCAAAAATAGTAACCAGACAGAATGAGGTGAGGTAAACATACACAGACGAAGAGAGAGAAGAGAGAAGAGACAAAGGAGAGGAAGTACAATGCCCACTCCTGCTTCGGGCTCCCTCCTTTACTACCACCTCAATAATCAATAGTCTGGACGAGTATCCGAAGTATTCTCAATGTGCCACGTGGCCCGTCTAATCAGTCCCACATCAGCATCTGGAGCAATGTCGGCATAAAGACCACCAGGTACGTATCCTCGAACTCTCCGCAGTCCTGATCTCCTCCTGAAGTGACGACGAAACAGAACAGCAATGCCGATTACGTAGTCCCAGCCATAGAACACGTGGCAGCAGCCACGTCAGCCAATGATACACGTGGCAGCAGCGTCGAGCCAGCGTTGAAGTCAACGCGTGAGGTCAGCATCAACGCAAGACAGAATGTATGTCAAAGCCAGGAAGTCAATTCTTATGTAGTATTGACGCGGGGTCTGGACCCCGGATGCTGTATCCCTCGGCCGTCCAGATCTCAATGCGAATGAGGGCCCAGATTGGCCTGAAACCGAATTCCCTCCTGCCTGGATGCTGTCTGGGTACCTGCGCACAACAAGTGAGTGTATCCGACCAAGGGCCTGGGTGCGATACCTTTGACTCTAAAGTTCTTTGACTCTTGAATTTCCTGTGTGCAGTGTTCGGTCACACGGCCATTCACAACAGACTCAGACCTGGGCGTGTCTTGGTCACACAGCCCAGCGCAGACCATCTCAGGTCTGCGTGGCCTGGGGCTGAGTTCTGGGCCCCAGGCTACATCTGAACAGGGTTATTACACCTTTCTTTCCTCTTTAATAAGAAAAAAAGGCACGATACATATTCCAGAGGAGCTTGAAGAGGAAAAAAGGAAGAGCTCACTAATTAATAATTAATAATTATGCAGTTCGCAAAACCGACAAAATCCATTCACACGAACGAACTTTAAACTTTAAACGTTCGAGGAAGAGCTTTACAAAGAAATTTTCTGCAAGTACGGAGACCGCCCATGAGCCCTACGCACATGAAATACATGTCATTGAGAGAGATTTTTTTTTTTTAAACAAAGGCCTAACAACATTCTCGACATGACGGGCATCAGCCGTGTGTTCGTTTTCCCTCTGATTTCCCTTCCTTTCTCTTTTTTGCCTAATAAGCTCTCAGTCTTCTTTTGATTACTGTTTGCTTATCTGGAACATAGAAAACAATAGAAAACCTAAGACTGTCATTCGGGGGGACATCCGATTAAATTGGAATGACACAGAGAGAATGAAGATTAGCATGGCCCCTGCACAAGTAAGGATGACACACACAAATTGAAAAATGGTCCAAAACCGAAGAAGACTGACCTCCAGAGCTGAACCAAGCGTGTCGCCTATGGTAAACAAAGAGGATGTCAACGCGTCCAAGCCCTTAAGTACAGCGGATGAATGTCCTGATGCCTGCAAAGCACAAAAGCGGACCAAGTTCATAGTTTGAAATTTTCTGCACCATTTCCCCCCCCGATGTCTTCCGAAGACTTTCCCCCCTTCAACAAAGCAAGGAACAGATCTCTCTCTCTCTCTCTCTCTCTCTCTCTCTCTCTCTCTCTCTCTCTCTCTCTCTCTCTCTCT